TTCCAAATAGATTGTTCCTGTGGTACAGAGACAACTTTAAATACAAGATTGCTATGCAGTGCACTATTTCTGCATGGCTGGCAATGCCCTAGGATAACTTCATTTTAGAGAAATTAGCTAGATTTGGCTCAATGTTTGTTAGAATTTGGAAAATTTCTCTGTTCTAAAATTATTTAATCTAATCAGGCGCTATAGCTATGTTGCTAATGATTTAATTGCTTTGATAGGAGATAGTATATGACAGGGTCTTTTATCTTAGTATATAATGTTAATCTTAAGCAGTTGGGTTATTGAAAAACTGTTGGGGGAATTAGCTGACATTAATTATGTAGGTATGCCATTCATATCAAAGATTTGTAGGGTTTCAGAGTTTAAATATTTTATTCATTCAAATACATATAATTTTAAAAAAAACAATTAGTCATAATTTGTTTCTTTCTACAATCTATACACAAATGGAAAAAAAAAGTAGTAGGCAGTGGAAGGATTTATTATGCTGTATTTATTATTCACCTCTAGATGTGTGGGTTCACAGGACAAAGAGGAATAATTGTGGGGAACATTTCTTATAGCGATGGTCAAACTTCATATGTTTCACTTGCTTATTTGGTCTGCAGAACTGGTCTGGAAAATTTTTGAGACTAAGCTCTCGTGAAATTTCTGAAACTTTCTACTTGTAGATGAACAAAAAATACCATTGAAATAGCTATTTTCCTCAGCATTTTGTCCCTTCTGATCCTGTTCATAAACTAGAATGGTAGAGATAAGATTATTAAAAGCAGTTGAGTGAAAATATTTTGAAGCACAGATTCATATTTTATTCCACTTGGTTCACACAACTGTCCTTCTGAAGCTTTGAAAATGTCATGGATTTGGAATTTATTCAGATAGTTATAAGCACCAAGAACCTACTCTTCCACCCGGAATTTTGAATATCTCCTGTTGTTTAATTCCTCCAGTTAGACAATGGGAAATATTCATATGTCTCTGTGAGTTATTTGGACATCATGCTCTATGAATGTGAGTCTTTTAACTGAAAGAATAAAAAAGAAAATGTTCAAACACATGAGGATTTGGAGAGATATTCTAGGATCTCATCTCAGCAATAATGCCTACAAACACTCAGCAATGGTTAGGCAGCTGATGTGCCTCAATTTCTGCTATTTATATTTACTATACTCATATCCTTTTTATCTTGTGTTTTCTATGCTTGTCTTTGTATCCTTTGGTTCTCTTTCATCATAGTTAGGCCTTGTTCCCATAATTCTCTGTGCCTGAACAATATCCCATTAGTTTTGCAAAGCTATGCGTAGCTACAGTGATGCATCCCCATGCAGTGTTTGCAGGAAGTGTGCCTTAAACGGCAAACTCTTTGGGACAGGGACGATCTTTGCACTGTATGTGTGTGCAGAGGCTAGCACAACAGGCCCTGATTGGGTCTCCAGACAAAGCTACAATATTAATAACAGAAATGGACAAACACACACACTCTGATAGCAGTGAAAAAAAATCACAGGGAAGCTCCATTTTTTTAATCTTTGTCCTGTTCGCCAATCTCTTTTTTAGTAACACCTACACAGAGAGACAGAGAGAGAGAGACAGAAATAGGGAGAGTATACTGTAAAGTTTAAACTTGTTACATTTCAACTGTTAGTTTATAATTAATGTAGTGCAACTTTGAAGACTGTTGGTAGTACAGTATTTTATGATAAATACATTTTATGGGATATTTTTAAAGAGGGTTTTATAAAAAAGCTTCCCCAATAAATGATTTACCAGCTCCAATAAAAGATCAAGGAAATTGCTCAGATTGCATCTCAGAGCATCTAAAACTCTGAAGTTTATGGAGGTCCTAGCAGCCGCTAGACCTACAGCCCTATTAATTTTTTTGTAGTAGCTAATTATCTTGTGTTACATTTTTTAAAGGGTAGCAAACCTTAAGAAAGAAAATGGTCTGGAAGCAGACAAAGGAGAAAAATTCTCTTTGATAAAGAGTATGAGAAAAGAAGAGAGAATGAGAGAAATGAAAGAAGATGAGAATAAGACAGAAAGAGGCAGAAGCCTATTGAAAGGTCATCTGTGGTGGAAAGTGTATCATAGAAAATGGAACAAAATGGCATCTGATGTTTGTTCACTTAGTTAATGGAAACTGAATTCACTCTTAATTTGAGAAAGAGGATAAACTAAAAGGTCGTTGTTCGAGATGCTAAATCCAATATATGTCCATTTTATGACGAGATTTGTTTTCCTAGTCTTTTTATTTTCTACAGTGATGACATTTTACCGGCACTGAAGCAGAAAGTAAAGGAATTACACAAGCAAGGATCTCCCAATTTGACTTTGTTCCACCTCATGGAACTTCCAAGTAAAAATAACTAACTACTGGTGTTTCTTGCAAATAAGGTGACAGAGCCAGCTTAACCAAATGACATGTTGAAATAATGAAATATCAAGAGTGATTATCTTCATGTGTGGAAGAAAAGTGCAGAAACCATTAAGCACATTTTGAAATTGTTGTTTCTTAGCCTTTACAAAATCCTTCAATTGGCTGCTCTGAGGTACCCTTCTGTGCCTGCCCAGAACCCCAGTGAAGTAAGGTGTGACCACACACAGTTAGTTGTAGGATCTAGGAATATAAATTAACTAAAAATTGCAGGGGAAGAGTCACAAGCTGCTCCTAGGTCCCAAATCAGTAAGGCAAATAAATGCATGCCTTACTTCAATCCAGTGGTTCTCAAACTTTTTGGCCCAAGGCCCACTCCGCTCAACAAAGACCTTTTTGTGGATCACCAGCCAATGTCCCATGATGACAAAATGTGTGCAAGAGTGGGGTGGGAATGTAGGGTCTGGGCATAAGGGAGATGGGGGGTATTTATCTAGCTCCATGCGCACTGCTGTTCCCAGGCACCACCTCCCACTGCTCCCATTGGTTGTGATTCTGGCCAAAGGGAGCAGCGGGAAAAGTCTTCAGGTGAACAGTTTCCTGTGCTGTCAATCCCCCACATTGGAATGGGAAGGGGAATGGCAGTGCGCAGAACCACTTCCTTCTCCCACAAGCCAGATCTGGCCTGCGAGTCTTGGTCCCTGCACCACAGCAGGAAGCTGGTGTTGGTGCTCCAACCTCATGGGGGATGTGGGAGAGCCACCAAGAGGGAATGCCAGTGCAGGCTCCCTGCTACAGGTGGGAGGGGTGAACACCAAGATTGCAGCTCACCTGCAAGACAGTAGCAGATCTCTAGTGGTTCACGGGCCACACTTTGAAAACCACTGTTTTAAGCTAATGAATATTCCCATGGATTATTTAAGTATCTCACCAAATCAAAACCATCTTCCACATCCTCCCTGAGAA